GGATAAACTCTCTGAATTAAAGAAAATGTTTGCTTCTGACTTCACAAATTTTCAACAGAAATTGTTGAGAACCGAAGATGAAAAGGTACCGAAACTCTAGGTTTCAATACTATATTTGACCTCATTCATTCATTCATTCGAAATCGTAATTCAAATATATTTTAGCACCCAAAATTGCCGTTAATCGACGAAGACACTCCAGAAGAAATGGCTAAGAAGATTGGTGATCCTGTGCTACACAATATGATCATTGATCTTTTAGAAAGTGTACAATGCATAAGGCAAGAAATGCTTATGCAAGAACATGTGAAGAGAATTCGACGGGAATGGCAAATGTTGGCCAGGTGGGCTATAGTTTGTCGCTTATATCCATATGGGGATGTGTACAGGGAGAATTATCACCAAATTAAACAGAATTTTTTACAAGGAAAAAAAAGCATTGTCAACTTTGAATGAAATTTTTTTTTTTGGAAAAAACGAATCAGCTTGGAATAAGCCGACTAAAAAGGAGAGTTTTGTTGCGAAAAAAACAATTTTGAACGTTCAATAGAGAATTCTACCAAACCAAACTAGTACCCCCATTTCAGGATGCTCGAAAAGATGATAATGTGGCTGTTCATTATTTGCACGATAATATTTGCCTCCGTTATGCTTTACGACAGCCAAGATCCGCCAATAATTACGGATGAATTAATGAAGGAAAGAGCCAAGTAGAAGGAACGACAAGGACTCATGACACAATCTTCTTTGCGTTAATGGTGTAACTGCACAATACGCGCACAATCCAGGAAAGTCACACGACAGCTTCGACACATTTGCTTCAGTTTTATGCCATATTTTGGTCAACTGATGTCGAATCTCATTGTTGTTGTGTAATTACACCGTAGGCGCGCGAAACCATTAAATTACTTCTTGCTCAAATCTGTAAGTCCCTAGATGGTGCTGAATGTAAATAATCATGTACCGATTTAGCATATTTTTCTTACGCTATAAAAGGCAGTTTGTGAATTTTTTGTGTGCCTCATGACATATCAAACAAATAAAGTATGGAAAGCAGTGGTTATATTGTTTTCGTAGCAGCAAAATTCCGAAAAGACGACACTACTTTTTGTTTTTTTTTTAATTTTGATACTAAGTTATCATTTTACAAAATTAAAATGTCAAATCAACATATGAGATATAGAAAGAGACAACGTAAGCTTCCCGAGTACCAAACAGTTAGCAGGAGTAGCTACTTTAAGTTATTTACACAAAATGCTTTGTTATATTTTAGCAGAGACCATGGGAAGCAAGATGAATGTCTACATGATGAGGGCGCCGTTTTATCTGTTTCCAAAGAAAATCTAGTGTTCATTTTCAAGATTGCAACAATCATCTATCCATATAAGCTGATGCTCTTAACACATTAAGCTA